TATTACAAAATCAGAAAAGCTATCTTCCATATGATTAAAAAAACTATAAATGTAGTTAATATCGGAATTGAGGTTTGGGCAATTGTGAGCTGAGTTCTTGTACAGAGTTTGTCGTAATGCATCTAATGATATCTGTAAAAAAATTAGCTTGGTTTAACAGTCTTTTAATTTGTAATAAACATGCAAACTTACACAATCTTGAAACATATTCAGATATTTTATAATTTCTTCATCAATGTCAATTGCAAGCTTATTTATTCCAAATTTTTTAGTATCATCAAAGGAGATTGTGTCAACATCTTCATCTTCCATTTGTTCTTGAATATGTGTAATAAGTGTAGATGGAAGGGATTCTATGCATAGGATATTATGAAAATTAACAACACCTATGCTTAATGGTCTGTTCAAATAAAATGTATGTAAGTAGAAAAGTAAAAAGTAGTGTATTTTGGATGTTGAAAAACCTCTTACGTTTTGATGATTTTATCATCTTGGAAAATATTACAAATGTTATAACCATTCCATAACCATTTATTCCCTTTTAAAGGATACAAACATAAACTTGAAAGTAATTCTTGTGCAATATCATGAAGTACATATTTAGGTTTGCTTATTGTATATTTCGGCTTTGGCACATTAACTAATTGACTTGCTTTTTCAAATTCACAATTACTTTTGGATTTTACAATATTGACATAATTATCATTATTCATCGGTTCTGAAATATTATCGTCCTCCTCATCATTGTTATCATCACAATGTTTTACCTCAAGAAAAATATTTGTAAGTGATTTTTTTACAATTTCAGAGTCCGATGAGAAATATTCTCCATTATAAAGTTTCGGATCACTATTGTATCCCGTTTCAAAAATTCTAACCTATCATTGAAAGTAGGTTCGAAGATTATAAAATGTTTCTTGTAAAATAAATTTATATTATATACTAGCCTTATTTAGAGGAGTCAAAAATCCTTCTCTCAAATTTTGTCGTTTTCTTTTTAATATAAGGTTGCTTTCAATCGTGTGCTCGTCTAATACATTAGATTTTATTTGAC